TGAAAGCTTTGGTTGCATTGAGAGTTTTCTATTCATTTAAACATTTTGGATGCATTGAGAGTTTTCTGGTAGAATATGGAATAATAACATCTGACCTTGGCCCCTTTTACATCTGTCAAACTATGCACTCTGTGCTCTCCTTAAGTAATATTCTTACTACAATGCACTCAGTTATTAGCTCCATGACTGTAGCAACCACACACTCCATCAACCAAGCCACTTACTGATTTACTCTTGATACATCCACCACCCACCCATTCCCACTGAGCTTACTTTTGTTCAGTCTTCAGATCTCCTAACTTTCTAGGACTGGATGTCATCTGTCTGTTTCTTACATGCTTCTGGCTTCATTTGCTATCATAGATCCTATCCTGTCCTGTGTTCATCCTGTCAAGCTGTAACTCTTAAACACTTGATGCTTCGAATACAAAGGTAAATAAGCAAACAGCACTCGGGCAAACTGGACTGAGAAGCAGCCAGCCAGTGTGTAGAAAAGACAGACAAATGGGGGCAAACCCTGTCAAATAGCAACAACAACTAACTGGTCCAAGAAAAGAGCACCATGCTGAGAGAGAGACTAGGTAAGTGAGCGTGTTGAGAAGGTTGAGGCGGGAAACGTGGTGCATGTGGATGAGCTAGGCAACAGGGAGAAAAGAGACAATTCAGAGGGCAGAACTGTGTTGGTCACTTATTGTTCTTTCTACTACATAGGGGATACTATCTTATTTACAATTATATGCTTGCAATGCTAATAAAGTAGCTGTTGTATAGTAGATGTCCAATAAATATTTGGTAATTTTAGACTATTGTCAGTATGCAGGTGGGTGCCACAGGATGAATGAGCTCTACCAATAGAATGCTCCAACCCTTCTTAGTGCTGGCATCCATAAAAGAATGGTCTGTAGACCACATCCTGAAGCTTCTGTCCCAGACACATTGAAATTAAATTTCTTTTTTTTTTTTTTTTTTTTTTTTTTTTTTTTTTCGAGACAGGGTTTCTCTGTGGCTTTGGAGCCTGTCCTGGAACTAGCTCTGTAGACCAGGCTGGTCTCGAACTCACAGAGATCCGCCTGCCTCTGCCTCCCGGGTGCTGGGCTTAAAGGCGTGCGCCACCATCGCCCGGCTTGAAATTAAATTTCTGTTGGTAAAATGTGAATCTATCTATTTTTAGAAGCTCCTCCAAACAGTGCTCAAGTATTCTGATCTTTGAGAATCATTGATCTAAAGTAAGAAAATGACAGTGCCAAACATGTGGTTAGAACCAGGAGCTGAGCCAGTGGTTGGGAGTCTAGACAGGAGGCTCAGTTACCTTAAATAGGCTGGGAAGAGTGTCAATAGAGTCTCAACTTGTGGGCTACACATTCAAGGTGCAGTACGATATGAAATGATTGACAGGCTGTGACTAAATGCGTGAATGGGGCACAGCAAATGGTCTCTCTTGAAAGAAAGCAATACCTGATGTTCCAATGCTGTTCATTTCCACTCCTCTAAACAATATAACATTTTATTATCCTTAAAGAACAGATGGAGACACTGGGGCATATTAAACCAAAGCTTCTTAAGATCACAGTTATCAAGCAGATCTGTACAAAGTCAGACAGCCTGTCTCCCATTGCTATCATGAAGAAATTCTATCCTTAGACTTGGCAAAGCTTGACAAATTAGGAATCAAGAACATTGGACAACATTGGTCAGTAAACCTCACGGTAATATGTCCTTTGCTAGAAGTATACCTATCTGGCAACTTTCAGATCGAAAGGAGGTGAAAAGTGCTTGGCTTGTGTAGACCTTTCCTGATCCCCTACAGTCACCCCTCTTTGAAGACACGGCATGTCCACTGCTTAGTGTCCATGACCTCAAGATGGTGGTTTGAGAAATCCTGGCTTCTCTTAAGTCCTGAAAAGGTTCCCCAAAGTGAAACACCAGCTCCATCTTTTTCTCTGCCTTCAGTCCTTAGCATCTATCACAGCAGACAGCAGCATGACGCTTCCCAGGACACACGTGGGAGTCTACAAGTCCTGCATCTCCAACTAATTCTATCTTTCTCTGTTTAGGTTGTTCAAAGGAAGCTCAAGAAAACTGATTAGCTGATTAGCTGACTTCCATCTAGGAACCAAAACTCTAGTCTTCCTTTTTCATTAGCAATCATTGTCTTTAAGAAATAGCCTTAGAACAGATGTTTATAGTAACAATATTTTATTTTATGTGTATGAGCATTTGCCTGCATGTATGTATGTACACCACACACATGCCTGGTCCCTACAGAGGCCAGGAGAGGATGTGTCAGATCTCCTGAAATGTACAGATGGTTGTGAGCTGCCCTGTGGGTGCTAGGAATTGAACTCAGATCCTCTGGAAGAGCAACCAGTGCTGGGAGCCATCTCTCCAGTCCTAGAGCCACCTTCTTGAACTAACGAATGGAAACAGCCTCCTCGCTTCAAAGTCACTTTATGAAGAGTAGCAGTCCCCAAAGTCCCCTTTATGCCTATTTGTATGCCTACTTACAGGGGGCCTTAAAATTTCAGTCTTTAAGATCTCCATTCAGGGTTCAATTAATGACTGCATGAATAGCAAAAGTGGGGGCTAAAAATCTGAGGGTAAATAAGTCTACTCACAACAGGTTCCGTCTATCCATAGTTCTTTATTCTTCTCTCTTCAATCTATCACTTTCATTGCTCCTTGTTCTACCTTGTTCTTAGTTCTACATCGTTCTCAGTTCTGCCCATTACAAATGTTCTCAGTAATATATATCCTTAAAACCAGCAATTCTACCGGGCAGTGGCGGCACACGCCTTTAATCCCAGCACTCGAAAGGCAGAGGCAGGCAGATCTCTATGAGATCGAAGCCAGCCTGCTCTTAAAGAGCTAGTTCCAGATCAGGCTCCAACGCTATAAAGAAACCCCGTCTCGAAAAAACAAAAACAAACAAACAAACCAGTTAATCCCCAGCCCACTGATAAAGATAATTGCAGGAAGGCCAATCTCTGCATTTACTTAGGGGAGAGGAATAAGGCCTGGCAGTGGAAAACTGTTCTGAACTAGGGAATTAATCCCCAAACTTGTAACAAAAAGGAAGTTGATCTACAGCTAAAAATCTACAGCAAAGGACAGCCACTTATTCCCAAAGCAGTAACACCAAGAAGCCTTTCCTTTTGGTTTAGCATTTACCAGATCCCTTGGTTCTGATAAGTCGCTTGTGAAAAGATGGCTTAGCAATTACTGTATAATGATGTGGCTTATAGCACCTACTTGAGAAATAAAAATCAGTGATGGTATTGGGTATGAGCTACCCGTGTCATCGGGACTCATAACAGGGTTATCCTGAACTCTGAAAGTCCTTCACTGCAGAATACAGGGATCTTAGGGAATACTCTTCTCAGCTTTTAGCTACAGCAAGATTTGAGACAAAAAGGGAAACTACAAATTTGATATTGTCATAAAACCTTATCCTATGAAAAGTATCTTTCTTCCCATTCTTTACCAATCAGTTGAGTCTGGTTATGAACTATAAGTTTTTACTCTTTTTATTTATTTTTTTAAATAGCAACTCAACTATGATGACAGATACGTGTGCTATGAGAACAAGGTTTCACCAAATGTGTTCTTGCAAGGAATAGCCATGCCAAATGTGCTGTGAGTTTAAGCAGAAAGATACTGGCTTGATTAGTTTCCCTCACACTGAGTAGAGTGAGTGGGGCCTCAAATGGAATTGGGTCATAATAAATGAGATTAAGGATGGGTGGTAGTGAGTGTTCAGAGCCACCTTCAAGGGGGAACACAAAAGAAAGGCAAGCCCAAGTCGGACCAAATTCCAGCATGGAGAGGTGAGTTGGGAATTGACTCCCGCCAACCATGGCACTACTAGAAGCTGTTAACTGCTTGGGGAAGAAAAAAAAGCTTTCTCCAAGAGTGTAGCTAGCCCCTGGTAAATTGATGGTTCTCCAGTGGAAGACCACACCTACAGTATTAGGCAGCACAAACAGATCTTCAGGATTTAAGTAGAACAAAGCACAACGCTGGGGAGGAGAGACCTGGGAAGCGTTGGAAGAGGGTGAATGGGATCAAAGCATCTTGTACAAACTCTCAAAGAACTAATGAATATTTTGGGGTTTTTTTTTTTTTTGGTTTTGGCTTTTTTTTTATTTCTTAAGAGTTAGTAATACATATGAGTAAGTTTTTCTTTGAGGCTAGAATGCTCAAAAATAAGTAGAAAATCACCAAAGCAGGTCCCAGCAGAGACCTTAGGGAAGAAAGGTTAGTCGTCTTCCTGGTGCTGTGCGTGGCAAACTGATTCAACATGGCTTCGGGAGGGGTGAAGTGCAGGAGAGGGAGACCTTGGGTTGGCTTTGAGTCACAAGTTTATCAGAGCCTGCCTGAGGTCATTGTTCCTGAGGTGACCATCTTGTAGCTAAGGAGACACTACAGGCAAGCAGAGCCTGTCTTGTTTCATCTCCTCTCTGGGCCTCGCCCTGTGTCTGCAGGTGTTTCTCTGTATTGAATCTCTCTGGGGAATCCTTGGCTTCACAGCAAAAGCCGGCTGGAGTGAAAGTGATTTGATCTGGATCCTATTACAGGCACTTTACCTCTTCTATTTCCGTGATAAGAGCAGATTGGAGTCGATTATCATACTGGGAGGGTAGTTAATGTGATGTCGAGAAACACTGGGGAAGCTGGCACGGGCAGAGAGGGGTAGATAAAAAGTTAAGGGTAGATTGAAATGCGCAGCCCTGGCTGATGCAGCCACCAGAATAGCATCCACCCTCCTTCCGGACAGCTGCATGCCAGGAGTCCAGATCACTTCCCTTATCGGTGCTGGTGATGGACAGAGAGCACAGTAGCTGCTCGGTCTAACTGAACCATCACCTCGGTCCCTCTGAGCTTTTGTGCTTACTCTAAAGCTCTGGGAGGCTGAACAGCTTCTTACTCAACCCAGAGGCTGCAAGGTCCACAAACACCAGCAGCTTTCTAGTCTTTTCCCTAGGAGGGGAAAACATGTGAGCTTAACCAACCTAGAGAAGATTTAAGGGAAGTTAGAGAAAGCAGAAATTATCTGGGGTTATTTTAGAAGAACTGCTTTATGTGTTTAACAAGAGAGACAGAAAACATTGAGAATTTTTGAACCATCTCTATTATGGTACCAGGGACTGTCTGCAGAAATGTTTGTGTTTCATATTTGCCTGGAGTCCCAAACTCATGCATCCAGCATGAAAATATATGACACCACCACCAGGTAGAAAACTATGACATAGCAGACAAGAGACCACTAATAGCGTGGGAAAACATTATTCTCCATGAGCCAAGAAGTAAGCAAAATCAAAATATGTTCTGACCTTTGGATTCTAATACCTATACCTACCTATCCTTTGCATTACAATGGATTTTGCTATCACTAAAATGGATAGAAATAGAAAACACTATTCTGAGTGAGATACCCCAGACCCAAAAATATGAATACGGTATGTACTCACTCATTAGTGGATTCTAGCCATAAACAAAGGACATTGAGCCTATAGTTCACCATCCCAGAGAGGCTAAGTAATAAGGTGAACCCAAAGAAAAACATATGTAGATCCCCCTGGAAACTGGAAGCAGACAAGATTGCCAGGCAAAAGTTGGGAGCATGGGGGTGGGGTGGGGTGGGGGAAAGGGAAGAGGGGGAGAGAGGGGAGAAGAGGAGGGCTGGGGAGGGCTTGGGGGAGTGGGATGGTTGAGATGGAGGAAGAAAGGATATGGGAGCAGGGAAGAAGATGTCGTAATTAAGGGAGCCATTAATTGGTATTGGCAAGAGGCTTGGCTCTAGGGGGACTTCCAGGAGTCCACAAGGATGACCCCAGCTAGGACCCTGGGCAGTGGAGGAGAGGGTGCCTAAACTGGCCTTTTCCCATAGTCAGATTGATGACTATCTTGAATATCACCATAGAACCTCCATCCAGCCACAGATGGAGATAGAGACAGAGACCCACATCAGAGCACTGGACTGAGCTCCAGAGGTCCAGTTGAAGAGTAGAAGGAGGGAGAATATGAGCAAGGAAGTCAGGACCAGGAGGGGTTGGTCCACCCGCTGAGACGGTGTGCCTGGGCTAATGGGAGCTCACCAAATCCAGCTGGACTGGGACTGAAGGAGTATAGAATCAAACTGGACTCTCTGAATGTGGCTGACAATGGGGGCTGACTGAGACACCAATGATTATGGTACTGGGATTTGTCTCTACAGCACATACTGGCTTTTTGGGATCCTATTCTATTTGGATGCACACCTTCCTAAGCCTGGATGGAGGTGGGAGGGCCTTGGACTTCACACAGAGCAGGGTACCCTGCTCTCTCTTAGGACTGGAGGGGGAGGGTGAATGGGGGAGCAGGAGGGGAATGGGAGGAGGGGAATAAGTGGAAATTTTGAATGGTATTATTTATAAAGTAATAAAAAATTTTAGAAAATTAAAAACCTAACTGTAAATGTTGTTAAGGTGCTTACCTTAACAACAGTATGCTTAAAAGCAGGAATATAGAATGTGCATATTTCACAAGTGGAATTCTGGTAAAAGACTAATGAATTTTTTTAAAAAGAAAATTTCACAGACTTCATGGGCTGTTTTGTTTAAATCTGGAGAAAAATATTGCTCAGGGAAATCTTTTGGAATGTGTCTTAGGGTTTTTATTGCTGTGAAGAGACACCAACGTTTATAAAGAAAACATTTAAACCAGGGTGGCTTGCTTACAGCTTCAGAGGTTGAGTCCACTCTCACTAGGACGGGAAGCATGGCAGCATGCAGGCAGAAGGGTGCTGGAGCTGAGAGTCTAACATCTTGCATGCAACAGGAAGTCAACACTGGGTGGTATCCTGAGTAGAGAAAACCTCAAAGTCCACTCCTCATGGTGACACACTTCCTCCTAAAGGCCATACCCACTCCAACAAAGCCACACCTCCTAATAGTGCCACTCCCTATTAGAATATGAGGGACAATTACATTCAAATACAACAGAATATAAGTTAAAATGACAATTTATAATTTGGCTTTAAGATCTGAAGACTATCCATCTTAGGCCTAAATAAACTCGCTTATTCAAAAATCATGGATAATCAAGCCATTAGATGATGTTTAACAGATAAGATATCTGATGTCTGTAAATCTGCTGTTTTTTAAAATATTTGAGCAACTTTTTAAGAGAAGACATTGTGTAACACATAATAACTCATATTATGCCACGTAAATCAGAGAATCGTTTTCTGAAAAAAAAAAACAAGAAATATGTGAGGACCATGCATGCATGCATTTATGTATGTACTCTGGAAATCAGAGAGCCAATGGCAGTAGGTCGGAAGAGAAGACAGTCATGCTGATGAGAAATACAGTACTATGTGGAGGCTGCGGCTCACAGAGAGGGCCACCTGCTACTCAGTCTTTGTGAGTTTCCTCAGTAGCCGGCTCAACGGCAGTGGAAGCCTTAGACACATGGTCAGGGTTTTCTCAGATGTCCACCCCTGTGGAACTTTTCTCCTCTGTTCTTTCTTCTGTTCCACATGCAGAGCGTGAAAGTCAACCTCTCTTGCTGTCACTTAAGCATCTCAGTGTGCCCTGCCTTATTGAGCACTCAAAAGGCCACTGATTGGTTAGACATCTCTTTTGGTTCTTTCTAACGTATTGTTTTCTGATCGAGTGTACAGAAAACTGGGAAGATAAAGTATTGGCATCAGCCCCCAGCCTGTAGCATAGTACTCAGGGTACCTAAGGAGTGAGCATGTTGCATCAACATGCGCCTATTTGATGGGTAGAAGTTTCACTACATCTTGCCAAATGGATCAAATAAAGTCATCCCAGTGCCAAAATGAATTCTGGAATAGATGCAATTGTGTAACAACATATAACCAAACATCAGAGCACACATTACACATTTGAATCTAAACCATAGAACAGTTTTTCCCCTGATATCCAGAAAGAAATGTGTTTATCTTATTCACCTATTTTGAATCTTGTAGTTTTGCACACAGTCCTATAAGTATAAATCTTTAAAACTGCACATATTTCTTGGATTCATACTTAGCTGGAATTATAGGAAAAACTGAAAAATTAGGCAGCCAGACCTAATTGTCTAAATAAGTTGGAAGTTGTTCTTCTGTCCTGAGGGTTTGAATAAGCTTTGTTCAGATGACATTTTCCTTTGCCAAGACCTAGAATCCTTTCTTGGGAAGAAATTGAAGTTAACGATCTACTAATTGTATCATTTAAACTTATTCCTTCATTTGGGAGTCAATTTTTCAAATTTCTTTATAGAAATTTAAGTCCATGCCTCCTAGAATCACATTTTTAAAAAAACAGAATTTTATATAATTAAAAATTCTTTTATTCACATTTTAAAATGTAAATAAAAATAAATTGCATAACGTTATTGATGCAATATTAACTTTAATTGCACTTCTTGATGTGCATTCATTCTTTCAGTTAACATAAATTAATTAAATATGTCGTTATCTTTTTTTTTTTAACTTTTATCTGCGTTTATTTCATGTTGAATGTATTCCCGTGCCAGAAGTTTTTGTGTCTTCAGTTTCTTCTGGGATATCTTTTTCTTCTGGGCAACCTCCTCTTCTGGCTTTGGAACAATCTGTTCCTTTTCAGTGAGGATCATCTCGATGTGGCGGGGGGGGCTCATGTATGGGTTAATCCAGCCATGAGCTCTGTAAGTTCGTCGGCGCATCTTAGGTGCTCTGTTCACCTGGATGTGCTCAATGACCAGAGAGTCCACATCTAAACTCTTCAGTTCAGCACTGCTCTCTGCATTTTTCAGCATGTGCAGCAAACATTCTGCACTCTTTTTTGGCCACCGACCCTGTGACCAGCCCCACTGTTTGGCCTGGGCGCACCTACTGACTCCACCATTGTACCGTCGGAATGGCACACACTGCTTCTTCAAAGTGACATCTTTCAGATACTTGGTGGCTTTTCGGATATGCATACTCTTGATGGCCTGGGCCATTTCACGGGTGTTCTTAAAGTGAACCCGAAGGTCTTATCCTCTCGATTTGCATGATTTTGTGGGTTTTCTGGGTAAAGAGGGTAGCGAACCATCTTCACGGGTCACCTCTGGCCGCTTACAGGAAGAAGAGCTGTTGTTATCTTTTTTAAAATCTGTGTGAAAGAGAGAGACAGAGATAGAGCAATAGAGGGGGAATGAAGAGAGAAAGGGAGGGAGGAAGAAAGAGGGAGGGGCTGTGTTGTGTATGTGGATATTAAAGAACAACTTTGTATAGTTAGTTCTCTTCTTCCACCTCTTTAGAGGTTCTGATGATCACACGTGAGTCCCCAGACTCAGGCAGTAGGCAGGCACCTGCATCCACCATGCCAACTTCCCAGTGCAAATGTGATCCTTTATGTTCATGTCAAAGCAGTAAAACCATGGATTTATTACAGCAGACTGAAATCAGTCTATTATTTGTGACTAATTCTAAACGAGAACTAAGGCTTAATTATTTATTAAAGATAAACTGCTAAGACAAAAGGATGTAGAATTCACATTTGTTCCCTAAGTTCTTTTGCTCCCATTTACCACATTTGAAACACCATCCTTTAATAGGGATACACTGTGTGCTGCAGAAAATGTGGTTTTTTTGATCTTAGTAGGCCACTAAATACAGACAACTTACCTAAATTCTAAGCCTTGGTCTGGCCAAACCAGGATATCAGCTCCAATATAACTATGAGAAAAGCCAAGGTTATACAAGCAAAATATTTGACACCTGTAAAATCCCTGGTATATTCAAAATATTAAAGCTATAAAAATTACTACTAAAATTATGTTCATGGCTGAAGCATTGAGGTTTCTATTTCTGTCGTTAGCTATGGGTTCTGGGCAAGCTATGAAGATCTCCTGGCTTGCATTTCTCCATGAGTGATGGAGAATATGGACAACGCCCAAATCATCATCTGCAGTATGTAGTGTTGAGGAATTAATGAGATAATATATATGAATATAAAATGTGATCATTCATGTGCTATGACAAGCTCCTAATTTTTCAGACGAAGAAACTAACAGCTGCGAGCTAAAGGGAAACTGTGCCCTCCTGCTAGCAAGTAGAGCTGGGACTTGAAACCAGAACCCCAGCTCCTGAACACAGGACCCAGTTCGTTCTGTGCCACAGCTGCAGCCCACAGAGCTCTCGAGGACTTCCTTTGCATAGGCTTAGATTAGTCCCAGAGCCTGGGGATCAGATTAAAACAAAACAAGGAGCAAAGAAATCTCAGCTGCTGAAGTGACAGTTTATAGGAGCGAAGAACAGGGACAGTTACATACCAGCCTGTTTCTAATAACACACGCGCCTGCTACCGAATCCGACATTCGGGAGCCTGCTGGCTTCTCGTTCCCCATTCATAGGTGCTTGCCCAGATGCCACTCTTTCCTTCACAATGTTGCCCGCTTCTCTCCAGTTTCTGTCTGTCGCTGACACTCCGGCACGGCAGAGAGCGAACAACCTGAGCCTGGGACATCCGAATTCTGCCAACCTGCCCTCGGGGGCCTTGCTCCAGGGCTCTTCCGATGATATCGCTACTAAAATTCATGAGAACCGGGATTATCCAGGGGTGCTCTGGAGCCAGCTCACTCCACCAGGAGAAGCGAGCTCCGTACTTCCCTTCTTCAATTCCATGTTCAGGAATCTGATGTGGATAGCGGGAAACTGCCCCTTCTGGGTGTGTTTATGCCACTGAAGTCAGCAGACTGGTTCTTTTCCCAAGAGCACCAAGCTATCACACATGTCACAGCAGGAATCTGATCTGATGGAGGGACTCCTCCTGGTTCCCTGCATGGTGTCTGACAAAAATACTCAATATGGGCATCTTCTCGAAAAGAAAGTCAGTCTCTTTTCTCCTCAGGGATCTGCTCGTCTCATTCCGCACAGTGCACTCACTTCCTCTGCGGCCTGGCTTTCTGGACCTGTCTCATTCAGCTTTTCCCTCAACTGGAAGAACAAGTTCCACTAAAACTGGGGCTGCCACCTCTGGGGCTGGCAGAATCTGTGTTCACTTCCTGTTCCGTGACTTAGCTCACACTTCCTCCCCTGTTGTGGAACAAGCCTTCTATAAACTGTGATGATGTATTACCCTCATTGGTTAGTAAAAAACAAAACAAAACAAGAGCTGATTGGCCTATGGCAACAGAGACTAAAGCTAGGTGGGAAAGTCAAACTGAAAATGCTGGGGGTGGAGATGGAGCGGTAGGTGGGAGGGCAGAGCCAGTCCTTGAGGAAGTAGACATTCTAAAGGACAGGTAAAGCCATAATTAATATAAGCTTCTGTCAGAAAATGGCCATTTACACGCCCCTAAAACCTCTCCCACAGACTTTCCAAATTCTACTGTTTCTCACAACCCACATCAAATTTGGCACCTTGCCCCAAATTGTCCATTATTCTAAGACCTTCAGAGACCCGTGTAACTGGTTCATTCATTTAGGATTTAGCTATTTTGTAGCCTTCTGGGCCGTTCATTTTACTTCTGTGGCTTATCACAGGGTACCTGAAGACGATGTCTACATAGGTTTATCTCTGTTTCATACACAAGCAGTATATATTAGTACCATGAAGTGCTTCCAGCCCAAGGATTCCCAAATGCTCCCCCAGAGTCTGGGGAAAACTTTCTTCTCATAAGTCTCTTCAGTGCAGCTGGCATTCAGTCCTTCCCCAAGCTGGTGCATGTGCATCGTATCATGATCAGCTTAAGGACTTCTGAGCTCCGCTCCTAGAACTTTTCATGGACAATCAGCCAAACTGCAGCCAAAGCCACCATGACAGAGTTTCTCAGGCTCTTAGTGCCCCCAGAATACAATACTTGTAGGTGAAATCATATTTTCTATATTAAACCTTGAAAAAATAATATAAAAACTTTGGATAGAGGAGCTATATTATAAGATATAAACCAACACAGATTTCCAAACTAATAATTGTTAAAACAAAACCAACATGTAGAGGGGCCATAAAATAAGTCTGTGTGTTTTAAATGCATGAATTTGGTAATAATTTTGCTCAGCATATTCATTTGTATGTGCACATAAGAATGTCTCCTCTGAGAATATGATTAGGCCGCCACTGAGTCTTTCTACATATTTTGTGGGTAAAATGACCTTTATTGATGAAATAATGGCAGTAGTTGAAATACAGTTGCTAATGAGATACTCTATATTCAAAATTAATGTTGGTAATTCAATAATTCCCCTACATCCATCCTCATAAATTCTTAGATATATGTACATACACTGTAGAGTATGTGAGCTCCACTGTCAGGCTGTCATAACAAAATTACTACTGATTGTCTCATAAAATCATCAAAATGTGTTTGTGTGGAGTTCTTGAGACTGAAGGATCCAGGGTCAAAGTCCCCAGAGCATCCATGTCTACTGAGCCTGCCCTCTGCTCTAGGAAGGCATCTAAGAGGTCAGAGAAGCTCGGAGAAACCAGAGCATCCATGTCTGCTGAGCCTGCTCTCTGTCTCAGGAAAGCATCTCTAGAGATGTCCTCATCTGAAAGAAGGGAGAAAGGCAATCTCACAAGTGAGTGGGGAGTGTCCTTCGCCATCCATCCTTTATAAGACAAAAATCCCTTCAATGGAGGTTCATCCCTCCCAGTTTAATCACTCCCCCCAGAGGCTGGACCTCTTACAGTCTGTACCTGCTTACAATGCAGATTAAGTTCCCGCATGAGTTCTGCAGGGACACAGTTAAATTGGAGCAATAAATGAATAGATATATATGTAAAAAGGGTTGACTCGGGCCTGGGCTATCCAAATCCTTAGAAATCCAAAAGTCTGGGGACAGTCTCCTGAGAGGGGATCTGTAAGTCCAGAGAATACCCTGCCTGACTGAAGTGTGTTTCTACTCCATGCTCGACTTGCACCAGGTTTTTCTGCAGCGATACTGTTATGGTAACTCCTGGTTTAGTTCACCTAGAACCTAAGCCATACTTTTTCCATTGCCTGGGGAAAACTGAAGGCTGAGTAGGGGGTGATTGATGGGAGGTGCTCCATGCTTGTAACAGGAGGTTCTCCATGCTTACAGATGGACACCAAAGTGCAAGTGAGCCTTTCTGAATGACCACAAGTTACACATTGCCATGAGAATTAAGCACTGTTTTCTGTGTGTTTCCAAAGGCGAGGGAACTGGGAAGCTTGTTTCTAGTCTTTCCTAGACATCCACGCTTTAGTCTTTTTAGCTTCTACCCTTTGCTAAAATGAACTGAAACCACAGGCATAACTCGAACTAGAGAGTATTGACTTGTCTAGCAGGACAAAGCACCTGGTTATACAGGCTGTCCAGTTGGCTAGTTGGGCTGTGGTCATGGCAGTTCTGAATATACAACACAGTGGACTTTCTCTAAATCTAACTGCAACTGAAAATTTGGTCATCTGAGAAATTTAGGGAGGGCCTAATTCAGGTACAATGTGCGGCTTGTAACTAGACTCATTCAGCTCTCAGAAAATAGGATATTTGAAGAGCCAATGATCAAGTAGTTTCAGCTCGCTAAGAAAACCCAAGGACACAAGGGTGGATATTTGTTTCTGATGGGTCTGGAGAGATGCTCAGTGGTGAAGGGCATTTTCTGCTCTTGCAGAGACCCAGGTTTAGTTCCTAGCACCTATATGGCCACTCACAACCATCTGTAACTCCAATTTGATGGGGTCTGATGTCATTTTCTAGCCTCCATGGCTTGTATATACCTATGGGTGAAATTCTCACACATGTAAAATAAAAATAATAAATTTTAAAAATACTCAGTTTCTGCTCTCATATTTCATACAAAGATGATGGAGGAGGGTCATCTGTCTATGTGTTACTTTCATTGGTTAATAAAGAAACTGCCTTGGCTTCTGCTAGGGCAGAATTTAGATAGGCGGAGTAGACAGAACAGAATGCTGGGAGGAAGAAGGCAATGAGGCAGACACTATAGCTCTCCTCTCCAAGATGGATACAGGTTAAGATCTTTTCTGGTAAG